ACCTATTTGGATACAGACATCAGCACAGTCAGAAACTCTTCAGAATTGTCACCTGGGATATTTTGGGGTATATAAGCATGTGTAAATGAGATACATCCAAACTCTCCAATTTATGATATTTGAAAATAAGCACATTTTTACAAATAAAAAATATGTCTAAGTAGTACTATAGAAACACCCAGACAGATTGGTTGTTCTGTTTGGTCTGATTTTATTTCCAAGGTCTAGGGATATATTCTAGGCATTATCCTCGTCACACCTCTGTGGTAGACTATAATTGGCACCCAATATTTAGAAGGCAGTTAAACTAGTAAACATTTGACTATATCCAATATTCAGCCCAAAATATTATTAGAACTAATGTTGAAAAACCCCAATAAGATATATAGGTAGATGGATAAATAATAGAAGTAAATGGAGACATATGAATATATTTTAAAAGTTGACACAAAATTAAATTTTGTGTGCATTATATTGATTATTTTTTTTCAGTGTAATAATCCCTTTTACTCAGTGTTTAATACATCAAATACACATACTTAAATAATATTGGCAAACATTAATCTGAGGGGATTTAGTTATTGACTATGAACTTAATTAAATTTATTTAAATAATTCAAAGTACAATTAGTAATTCTTTTTGGATCATTAATGATTTTTTTAAATTAGTGCATTATGGATACACAAGGGTATACTATTTATTGTTTTGCATTTGTCAATTATATAATTGCTACATCAGTGTCATTTATGCATTATCTATGATAAGATGGGTTATTTCATTTGATTATATAAAATATTATCAACCATGTATTGTAAAAAAAAAATGCATAGAAACCTCTCCTACAAGGCAGCCCTTTGAAAGCCTTTAGGTCTGCGAATTTACAGCTTCAATATGCTTGATAAATATCAGATAGTTGTCTGAACAAGAAAACAGATCACAGTGTGGATTACTTGACTTTACATGGAAAAACATCAGAAAATATGGAAGAATTTAGAGTACATGCCAAGTGATATTTGGATAAGTAAAATCACTTACTTAAGACTTATTATTTATACAAACATATATATGCACACATACATATGCATACACACATAAATATATACATATAAAATATATGTATAAATACATGTGTGTATACATATGTATGTGCTTATATGTATATATGTGTGTATATATGTATACACACACACATACATACACATGATTTTTGAGAGGTAGGAATGGAAATTAAATAACTCAAGGTATAAATAATCCAAAAGAAGAAAAAGAAGGTAGAGAAAGAAATAGAAACTATATGTTTTACAATGAAAATTAGAGTACCAGAAATCTCAGAGTTAACTATAAGCAAAAATAATGCACAATTTTATCATACTAAATACAAAGGTAATTATATGTAATGATATTAAATCAATTAAAATATTGCCTATAAGATTAAGACCTCTTGCTATCCTGCCCATACTTAATGCATATACATTTCCTATATTAGAAATTTGGGAGGGGGGCTGGGGACATGGCCCAGGGGTAGAGTGCTTGCCTAACATGTGTGTTGGTTGATCCAATCACCATCACCCCCCAAAAATAAACAAATCTGAGAATATGTATAATATTATATTATTAGAGAGATATCTGTAGTATACACAACAAAACAACATATAAATCTAAGCTTTGCTTGTTTTCCTTTGATTGGTTTGGTTTGGTTTTGGAAACATGGTAGGATAAAAACAATAATAAATTGCATATGGTAAAAACCATAGTTTTCCTATAATGTAATGAAAGATTAAAGTGTTTTTTCTTACTGTTTCTGGAATTATATGAAATAAAACAAACTGCTGTTTCATATATTATTATCTCCTTTTATTACTGATCATTGCTGCTTTTAAAATTATATTCTAAAATATTCCATTTATTTTTTGTCAAATTGCTCTACAAATTTCAGAACATCAGAATTTTTCCATCAGCATAAAATTGAATACATAAAAAACTCCTTCCAGAGGTGTGTTTCATAGTTGAATGAGGGATAGAAGCTCCTTGTATACTATTCAAGGTGTAAAGACAGAATCAGACCTACAGATATAATTAAATAATCATTAAACACTAAACTATTCTGAAAGTATCAAAAAGAAAATCCTAGGGAAACTAATAACTACTGGGAAGGATATTTCAAATGAGAGATTGAATCCATTCAGGTTTATAAACCAGAAATTAAAAGAATAAAGTAAAATGAAACACCTTGGTTATGCTTCATTTGGTCTCAGTTTTGGCTTCTGCTATGAGATAAAATTATTCAAATAAAACTTAAAAATTCTTAAGTAGTTCCATGATGATTTTTCATAACCCTCTTATGAGCATTTAGCTCATGAACCCTCATGATAACATAAAAATATTAATATAGGAGAAAAGAAAAGGACTTATTTCTCCTAAGGCATTATTGAATGGTAGAAAGCACAGAGTATACAATGAGAAATAATAATATTTGCCATGGTTTTGCCATCAAATTAAAGTTAAATTTGCAAATGTTACTGAAAACTTGTGAATAGCTCAAAAACATATCATCACACAAAATATTTTGGGTTTTTTACCTGTAATGATATCTCTATCTTGGCTCTGTCATATGCTTCTTATGTGACTTAGTGAGAAAAATTTATAGAGATTTTTTTTTAATCTTTTGAGATTTGAGATGCCCTAAAGAATTGACAAGCAATTTGCTGATTATCCCTAAATTATTTGAGGGCTTAATAGAATTCCTAGAACTTGTTCACTAATTGTCATGGACAATTTTATTCACAAGTGTATCAGTGAGGGTGTTTTGGAGAAACAGTGCATAGGGAGAGAGAAGTTTTAATGAGGAAATGTCTCATACAATTATGGAGGTTGAGAAATCCGATGAGTTGCTATCTGTAAGTTAGAAGCATAGAAAAGTCTGTGTCTTATTCTATTCAAAGCTTGGAAATGAGGTAGCCAATGCTTCCAGTTCCAGTCTGAGACTAAAGTCACAGGAATCTGCAGGTTGGAAGGAAGGGGCAGGTGATGGTAGAAGATGGATCTCCCAGCTAAAGCAGAGAGCTATTATCTGTTCCTCTACCTGTTGGCTCTACTCAGGGTCTCAGCGGGTTGAATGGATGCACATTCCTGTTAGAGACCACAATCTACTTTAACAGACTAACCGTTCAAATGTTAATATCTTCTAGAAACACCTCCTCACAGACACACCCAGAAATAATTTTATTAGCTCTCTGGGCATTCATTAGCCAAGTCAAGTCAATTCATAAAATTAACCATCACATAAGCTTGGTTCACATATGCAAATCTTTAAAACAGACTTTATCTCCAAATAAAGGAAATGCCAACATCCTAATTCTGCCTAAGATGATTTAAATATCTACAACTTCAAAAGAAACCAATTCCTTTCCCAGAAGATGAGATAACATCCTTCCATGTGTTTGGCTTTTCATCTACATTCCATACCTAATATACTATTATGAAAAGCTACCATTACTTAAATTCTGATATAAAGGCAATTTTGTTGAATGATTATGGGAAATGAAATGAATGAAAACAAAGATTTTTGCCAGAAAACAGATATATGTATATGTGAATACACACACATATTCACGACAAGATACGGAGAAAACACTCATGAAAATTATAGCCCTCATTTCTATAAATGATGATGTACAGTATCTGGTATTTATAACTACCTTATGTTACCCATTCTGTATTCCCTTTGTCTTCCTCAAGTACCTCAACTGATGGTGAGTCTCTCCCTGTTGGAGTTACACAAGCCTTCACTTATGAAGGGTCTGGAACATTAATTAGACAATTTTATTCACAGGTGTATCAGTGAGGGTGTTTTGAAGAAACGGAACCCATGTGCATGTGAAGATATTAAGGTGTTGAAACGTTCTTCTGAGGTTAATATGTGCCCATATTACCAAAGGCATTGTAATATGAAGAGAAGCCTTTGGGTATGTTTTCCATTTCACAATTGTTTTACCTTCATTGTGGATTAGGAGTTCATTTTCTCCTTAGAAGCCAGGAATAATCACCACAGCATCATTGAAACTTCCTCATTTGCCTGTGCATTCAAAGGTATGAGCATCCCAAAATGATCAAATGACAGTCTTAGGATCCAATTCATTGTAACAATTGCCATGTCTCCTACTGAAAGCATTCCTTCCTCTGGATGGAAGACCTCTCAATCACTGAAGCATAACATCATAGTAATATGAACCAAATCTCTTTCTACTATATCAGAAGGGATAATAATGAGTGTTTCCAGTTCTTGACCTCTGGTGTCTGGCTCTTCAAAAAAAATCATATATTGAGTTTGATTCAGGAATATTTATTCTCCTGGAGAACATTGCCTAAATCTTTTAAGGTGCTTCCACCTACCTAGTACTATGACTGAATCTTTATGATATTGAGATTTAAAATACTACTATGTTCCTGAACCCTCTTTCCTAGGGAAAAAGGGTGACTGACATCCATAAAGAAGGTCATGCCAAAGACTTGATTATCAAAATCCTCTTCTGCTTAGTTCCCCTTTTGGTGTGTATTCACAAGGGACACCAATATCTTTTTATAGAATGTATGCTTCCTAAGCACATGAATCTTTGTATAAAATATACATCAGGGTTGTTTTTTTTTTTTTTTTTTTTGGTGTGTGTGTATGATGATCACTACAGATAAACTAGTGAATGGAACAAAGAAATTCTTTGACTTTAAAATAAAATTTACCCCAAAGGAAGGAGAATTTAGGCTATCTTGAGAATTTCTAAGAATGGCATATAAGTTGGAGTTGAAACTAAATACAAACTAATATCTGAATCATTGATTAGAGACAACTTTTGGTTTGAAAATTATTAATATTTTCTTCATTCTGTGCCAATTCCATATTTATTCTTGGTCATCCCATAGAGGCAAAATACAGGTTTGATGCAATGCAATTTAGAGTGAATATTGCCTATGACAAAATTTATTTTTACCATATCCTACAATATTAATTTTTAAACAGAATATGTGCACACATTTTCCAGGTTCTCTGTAGGGCATTTTTCACTTCTTTATTCCTGAAACTATAGATCATGGGATTTAGCATGGGTATCCCCAGAGTGTAAAATACAGAGGCCACTTTATCAGTGTCAAAGGAATGGCTGGACTTAGGTTGCACATACATAAAGAACAGAGTCCCATAGAATACCATTACAGCTGTCAGGTGAGACCCACAGGTGGAGAAGGCCTTGTACTTGCTTTCTGCAGAGTTCATCCTGAGGATGGTGACAAAGATCAGAATGTAGGAGACAAGGATTATCAGAAGAGATGAAACCAAATTGAAAGTTGAAAATATTAGAATGATCAGCCTAATTTCATGTGTGTCTGAGCACAGCAAAGATATCAAAGGCAGACTATCACAGTAAAAATGCCTGATGACATTTTGTCCACAAAATGGGGAAGTGAAAATTTTTATGATGGTCAGCAAAGATAAAAAGACACTGTAGAGATAAGTGATTGCCACCAGCACATGACACAATGCTTGTGACATGATGACTGTGTAGAGCAAGGGGTTACAGATGGCCACATAGCGGTCATAGGCCATTGTTGACAGAATGAAAAGTTCACTAATAATGAACACACTGAAGAAGGTGAGTTGGGTAGCACACCAAGAGTAGGAGATTGTAGGTCGCTCGGCAACAAAATCTAATAACATTTTGGGCCCCACGGCTGTTGAATAACCAAGATCTGTGAAAGACAAGTGTCTGAGGAAAAAGTACATGGGTATGTGCAAGTGTGCATCTATATTGGTGAGGATAATCAAGCCCAAGTTACCAACCACTGAGATCATGTACACAATGAGGAAAAGCACAAATAATGGAGCCTGCAGTTCAGGGACGTCTGTGATTCCCATTAGGATTAATTCTTTCAACGTTGTTAGATTGTGTTTGTCCATCTAGCCACTCAGGAAACCTATACTGAGAGTAAATACAAAATAATCATTAATTCCTATTATATATGATGATGTTACATGTACTTTATGTATTTACATATGATATTTGTGTTATATACACATGTATACTTTATGCATAGGTACTCTGCATAGGTGTATACAAACACACACACACACACATGCACATGCATACATACACAAGCACAAATATATACACACAAAACATAAGATCATTCCAATTGCCTACTTAAGGACTTTTACGAAGTCTTCAACATTGAGAAAATGAAAAATAAAATAAAAAGGTTAATTGATAATATCACCATACAGACAAAGGAATTATTCACCATTCTCTAAAATGCCAAAATGTTGTTCATTGTTAGTATGATAGTATCTAAGGTCAAAAAGTAACTGACAAAACAAAATGGAATTAACTGAATAATTTTACTATCAAGGGGATAATAATTTTATTATCAGTTTTTTGTTTAGAAATTGATATTCATACTGTGCCCATCTCCTATCTCACTTATTATTTATTGTTTGTTTTTTTAAATTGATACATATTTGAACATATTCATAGGGCACAATATGATATTTTAAGACATCTACAAAATGTGTAGTGATAAATTCACAGTAATTAGCATTTTCATCTCTTCAAATATTTATCCTTTCTCATGTGTAGAAGCTTTCAGATTCTTCTAGTTATTTTGAAATACTCAATCAGTTGTTGTTTACTATAGTTACCCGAGTGTGCTACAGAGTACCAGAACCAGTTCCTCCTATATGACTGTATTTTAGTACTCATTATATAATCTTTCTCTGTGCCCCTCTCCTCTATCCTTCCTAGCTTCTAGTGACCATTGTTCTCTACTTGTATGAGATCCACAAATGAAAAGTTTTATCTTTTTGTGCCTAGTGGAACTTAGTTTCATGTGTGTGCGTGTGTGCGTGTGTGTGCACACGCATGAGTGTGTGTGTGTGTAGTGTGTGTGTGTGTGTGTGTGAGAGAGAGAGAGAGAGAGAGAGAGAGAGAGAGAGATTCATTAAAAAAAATCAATCATCATGTCTTTAAGGAGATCTATCCCTAGCATGTTATCTGAGGATTAATTTAGCATCACTAATTATGAACAACCTGATGGGATAAGGTGTGACTTTCACTGCATCTTGTAAAGTATAATGTTTAAATCTATTTTATTAAAAGTAAAAATACCCTTTCAAATTGATACTGCTGCTTATATTACTTTCATGCTATCAAACTTAATAGTTTCCATTTTGTAAAAAAAAAAACAATAAATAGGTGTTTCTCTAACCATGTTAACAGTTTGCACAGAATTGTTGTATACTATTTTATTTACATTTACATTTTTTATTTAACTTCTGAAGATGACCAGTTCTGACATTTTAATGTTCTTTATTTCTTACCAAAATCTTCATTATAAAATTAGGTAGTTTAAAGAGTTAAAGAAGTTCACTCATTCATGAGCCATGCTGGACATCGGTATGCTACCAAATACGGGTTTCAACTCCAAAAAATAATAGACAGTAAGTGCATTGTAAAATGAGAGATGAAAATGTGCATTTATATGCATTCATGTGATCCTCAAAAAGAAGTGGGGGAGTGTTTTTATAAGAAGTCACTAAATAAAGAAGTGGAAAATACACTTTGGTTATTGAGTAAAATACATTTTCCTGCTTTGTAACATTGAAAGGACTGATCCATTAGACAATTCTTCATTCCAAGATCAATTTAATGTTATTTCAAAAAAATAAGATGTTACTGTGTGATGGAGGTTCTATGTAGAAACATAGGTGTTTTAGTATTTTGCTTTGGCTTCACCTACAACAAAAGTGGCACCTTGCAATGACATTGATCCTTTCAATGATGCCGGTACTATGTGATGTACATGGCATATTTGAAACAGAAAATGCAAGTATAAAATATATTGATGTGGATCTTTTAATTAAGAGGCAACTTGAAAACTTTATGGAAATAAATTTGATTAATTACAAATAACAATATCATATTTGACATCTTGGTTGAGGATCTGAGCGAAAGATAATAAAAATCTTAGGAACTTGAGGTTAGAATTTCTTAAATACTATCTGCCTTTTCAGAAGATGATTTTTGGTTTCTGTTTTTAATATTTACAGAATATCAAACAACTACTTGGCTATAAGTACCGAACATTTACCAATGAGTATAACACAGATGGTTGAAATATTGTACTAGCCCAGAAACTCAGGTTATCAAAGGAGACTGCTAAAGTTGTGGCTACATCAATGGGACTCAGGAGGTGGGTCACAGAAACAGGTCATCTACTTACCTTCAAAGAGGAATGTTTCCTGACTCCTCATGTGTTCCTAACATAGCTCAATAATTTATGGAGTGTCTCTGTTCCTTTGAGACTTCCCCTAAAGAGAGGTTATGTAATTTGTTAATGATTCCTGAGCATTGGAAATCTTCAAACAAAACCAATGGGATATCTCCTAATTACAGACTACACCTTGAGATTTCCATGTCCTTGAAGTCATGTCAGATCCCTTTCTACAACTCCTCCAGTTTAAGTCTCTACTGCAATCTGGAACTCTGAAGTGAAAATGTTGTACTTGTAGGACTTGTTGATAGAAATTTTTAAACATTGTACTTTTGTAATTTAATGGCTGAGGACACGATATAGAAATGTTTAAACACAGATAATTGCAATGTTTTAAAAAATCATAGGGGAAAATAACATATATGCTTAGCTGTTTTTATTTGTTTTGTGGTGTTCTAAATTTATTGCCAAATAGAATAAACATGTAAACTAATGCAAATTTCATATATAAATTTTTGCAAGCTTAACATATTTAAGTAAAAAGAATCCAGATAAGACAGCAGCAATAAAAATAATAATAATCAAACATTTTCAAATCCAGAAGAATCCTTTATTTTCCTTTCCACCAAGAACTACTACCCCACCTCATACATGAAAATGCACAACTGCTCTTCTGATTTTTTTCTTTCTTTCTTTTAGTACCAGGGATTGGACCCAAGGATGCCTAACCACAACCCACATTCCCACCGCTTTTTATGTTATATTTTGAGACAGGATCTTGCTTAGGGCCTTGCTAAATTGCAGAGGCTGGCTTTGAATTCTCGGTCCTCCTGCCTCAGTCTCCTAAGCCAATGGAATTACAGGTGTGAACCACCATGCCTGACTGCTCTTCTGATTTTAACATCATTATTTACAGTTACTTAAACTTAATATTTTTTGAAAAATATTTTTATTATACAGTGTGCTAATTTGATGCATGTTTATCATGAATAATGCTTAAAAAGGGGTAGTCAGCATTGATGTTTCCTTACACCTTTAAAATCTTTATTAACATGTAGTTATGGTGCATATCTTTGCATGCAGTGTGATATTTCAATGCACATATATAGTGTGTACTAATAAAATTAGGGTTAATAACATTTCATCTTACTATACTTTGTGTTTGGAATCTTTCAAGCTCACTCTTCTAGTTATTCATAAAATGTGATGGGTTATTTTGAACTATAATCACCCCACTGTGATATAGCACACTAGAACTAATTCCTTCTTTCTAAATGCTTTGGTAGCCATTATACAATCTCCTTATTCCTACCCCCATTTACCCTTTACAGCATCTAGTAACTGTTCTCCTAAGTTCATATTGACCTTCTACATGTGAGAGAGAAAATGTGATAATTTACATGTTTGATTTATTTCACTTACCATAATCCCTTCCAGTTCCATGTATTTTGCAGCAAATACGAGACATTGTTCTTTTTCATGATTAATTATATCCCATTCTCTCTATATACCACATTTTCTTATTCATTCTCCACTAATAGTTACCCAGGTTAATTCCAGATCTCAGCTATTATGAGTATGCAACAATAAACATGGGTGTGCAAGTATGTTTTTGAATGGTGATATCATTTCCTTTGGATATACTGGGAGTGAAATGATTGAATTGCCTGATAGATCTATTTTTGCTTCTTTTTAGAAACCCTCTTATTATTTTCCCAAATGGCTGTACTATTGTATAATCCCAACAACTGGGTATAATAGTTCACTTTTCTCCTAATCCTCACCGGCATTTATTATATTTTATTAAATTTTGTCATTTTGGTGATAGCCATTCTACCTGGGATGTGTAAGACTATTAGACCTATTAAACATGAAAAGTGTTACATAGGCTTTAATAAATATCATTTATCGAATTCATTAAGGTTTTATTTCCATTACATTCTAGTAGAAAATTTATTATAAATGAGTGTTAGATTTTATCATGAACTTATTTTATTTTTTCTTTTAACTTAGAGAAATGTTGATTACACAGGTAGGTTTTCAAGTGTGAAATAGAATTTGCATTTTTAAATATGTACTACACTATTACATGTATCCAATTTTCTAAAAGTAAAGTGTGATTTGTACCAAGATCCAGTGTCTAATGAGTGGAATAACATATCTTCTATGCTTGTTTATCTCTCTGCAATTTTAGACTTTTTTATTTTTTTTCACTTCATATTGTTTCTGTGAGAATCTTCTTTGTTCTCCTCCTTATCTCACCCTGCACTCCCCTTCCTCCTGCTTCTTCTTCTTCTCCTTTTTTGCTTTCTTTTTGCCTCCTCATGTAGAATTTATGAATGCGTCAAGATTTATTTCCACATTGTTCTTTCGATGAGCATCTGTGTTGTTTTCATTTTAAGCCTATAATGACTTCATTTGCCAACAATATTCTATCACTTATCCTTCAGGGTCATAAGTACTCAGTAACATTTCTGTTGAATCTTAAAATAATATATATGGCAGAATTTAGTATTTTATTCCTCTTTCAAAATATTATAACAATGCACACACCCTAGAGTAAGGGGAAAAGGTTCTCAATATCAAAACTTTGAAATGTTGATCAAAACAGATATTTTAAAAGATTGTGTGTTTTTTTCTTTTGAGAGCAGCACTCAGTTCACAGAAAAATTAAGAGAAAAAGGCAGAGAT